CTCCCTGAAATGCTCTTTCCCTACTCTTTGCACACCTAACCTAGAGTCCTCCTTCTTGTCTTTCTGGCTTCCCAAAAAGCACCTTTTGACAATGGAAAATAAATAACGCTTGGGGAGGGAATCTTGACATTGTGGAGAATTTGCAAGTCCTTGGCCAAAAGCCATGGCATCAAAATAAAAAGGTCAAAGAATATGCCCCATAAATGTCCAACTTCCTTCATCAAGAAGCTCTTATGTCCAGATGAATAGAAATCCTTTCATCATAGTTAGACAGAGTCCACCTCCTCAGAAGTCAATTTCAGCACTGGGGTATTTAAGTGCGAGCAAAAGACGTATACAATTATTTGGACATAAGGTCACAGGATAACCTACGAGGGCTTTTTGTTTAAACTTTCACTTCCCTTTTCAATCAATTTATATACATTTACCTTCATCTCAAATGGCTCTGTGGATATCAGTCACCACATATAACATATTTTCTGCTTAGTTTTATTAATAGTAACCACAAAGCATTTCAGCCTGTACCACCAGCCCCTCCTAATTTAAAACAGGTTAATTTTAAAGGAAACCAGTAAGCAAAAAAGAATTTTTTTGATAAAAATGGAAAGTTCCAGTCACAGTATAATATTATATTCACTGTCAAGATGCTAAGAATTACTGAAAATAAATGCATTACCACTAGGAGGTCAAATACTGGGAAAGAACAGAGGCTAATAGGGTTTTTGCACATTTCTAAGGTTGCATAAAAGTTTTATGATTGAATCTGACAGTCTTAAAGTGCCCATGTCAATGATGTGGGTTAAATCACACCTGGCTAAAAAAAGGAGAAGGAAAGACAGTGTAGTGAATGCAAAATTATTTTTCTTGGAAATGAACTTCAAAGGACTAATTAATGAGAGGCATACTGCTTCCCAAAACTAGTGTCACCACAGTAGGGAGGTCGACGGGTGAAGCCAGAGTTTGTCAATGTGGAACTTCATTTGAAGAGGAAATTTGGAACTTCATTTGAAGAGGAAAACATGAAAATATCAATGTATAGAAAAAGAAGCACATTGATGATCTTTGTACTCTAGGTTTAACAATGTTCAAGAAGCCAAAAAATAAAAATAAAAAATAAAGCTGGCAGTTTTTTAAAAATTGAAGCATTATGGCAGTGGTTCTTAATGGAAGATAGACTAGCATCTCTTGGAGAGTGTTTCTAAACCACACTCCATTGTCCTGGTGAGGCAGACTTGTGGGAAGGCGAGGCGGGTAGTTGTAAGTACCTCCACAGATGACTCTGAGTAAGACTCTTAATTGAGAAGTATTATTAGTAAAAGGAAAAAGTACAATAATTAGAGGCACAGTCTCTTTTGTCAATTTCTATTCAAACAAGGTCTAAAATACAGTAAGAACTATATTGAGGAGTTAATGTGCCAGGCATCATCACTAAATTAGCAAAATTACCTAACTGTACAAGTCATCTTGAACTGATAAACTGTGTCCCTGGTCCAAGAAAAGACCTAAGAAGGGCCTGAAAGGAGTAGAAAGAGAAGCTGTTGCATCATTGGTTTCACACTAACAAAAAGTCCTGAAGAACTGTATGAGCTAAAAAAAAAGATGGTCCACATGGGGACCAGACAAGAGAAGTCTAAAGAATAAGCAGTTAGTCAGTGTGCCCTAGGGAAAGGAATGTGACTTATTTGAGTCTCAGTTTGCTCAAATGTAAGATGAGAGGCTTGAATTAGATTATATTAAAGGCCTTTCAGCATGAATAGTCTGTGATTCTATGCTGGGGGAAAAGCATGAAGAATGGAACAGTACTGTCCATCTGATTAGTAAACTACTGGTGGAATTGCAAAGGCAGTGAGAGTCTCAGTAAAGATCTTGGGTATAAACCAGATGTCACCCAAGTCCATGGCTTTAATTATCATGTATGGATAATAATTCTCTACTCCAGAGCTCTCCTTCAACTACAGACCAGTACTCCCAAATACCCACTCAGTATCCTCACTGATGATGTTTCACGGACACCTAAGATTCAACATGTCCAACATCATACCCATGGTCCTGCCTCATCTAATTACCCCATCTTATTTCCAAGATCTATTCCACCTTGCTGGTCTAATGGCAAACAGGAATCATCCAAAGACTCCTTTCTCTTGTGCCCATAGTTAATCAATTATTATTATTATTATTATTATTATTATTTGAGACAGGGACTCACTTTGTCACCTGGGCTAGAGTGCAATGACATCATCATAGCTCACTGCAACCTCAAACTCCTGGGCTACTTAATCAATTACTTATTTTAAAGTTCCTTTTGATTTTTCTCTCCTGAATACATTGAAAGTCTCTCTACCTATTTATCTCCAATATCAACACCATAATTCAGGTAACTCTCATCTCATGGACAACTCTAAGAACTGTCTCCCTATATGAACACAAGTCCTGTGTGCACCCACACCCCCAGAGAGAGTTTAGGATTGAAAATTGTTCAAGGCGCTCCCTGGCTTAAAACTCCTCAGTGGGTTTATGTTTTTGGACTGAAGATCAAAAACATCTAAGGTTCTGAATGATCTGGCTCTAGTCTATCTTAATAGCCTTATCTTATTCTTCTCTAACCTCACAAATCTTCTTTCAGTTCCTTGCATTTGCCAAGTTCCTTACTGCCCTGCGCCATCTTTATACATGCTTCATTCTCCCTTTCAGAGCTTAGTTCAAACATCCCATTCTTAAGGTAGTCTTCTCTGAGTCCCATCATCCCGATCTCATCTTCTATTATAGGCTTTAACAATGACTATAATGTTTATTGAGTGCTTATTATGTGCTAAGTACTATTTTAGGCATTTTCTACATATTAATTCATCCTTTTCTACATATTAATTCATCCATCTTCACCTATGGTAGGTGCTCCATAGTATGTTTAAATGCATGAAGAATGAATGAGTGAATAAGATTAAAACCCTAGAGCCATAGGTACCTTAAAATTCTACACTTGTACACTTTAGGAAATATCTGGCTACTTTTAAAGGTATTATGATAATGATTTGCATATACTGAGATCACACTATAAATAATAAAATGTCAAGTATTTGGGGGAAGTTTTATCTAGGAAAGGTTTGATTCCTCAAAGTTTAGATAGCTCTCATGAGAAAATACATTTAATTGGAAATGAAAGGCATAGAACATTGGTAATTTGAGAGTGTGGAGCTAAAGGCCATATTAGAAACATGTATGCATATTCTCATAAAGATATATGATTCAGATGATACCCACACAAGAGTTATTTCTTCTAGCCTTGGCTGGTACCCTGTGACAGTTTTTATACAGGTAGTTGCACGTTTTCTATAGCAACTTGCTTCCATCTTTATCTTTGTACACAGTTTTATGTGTTAAAAACAGATCTGAAAGATGTTCTTTAATACATTCACGTTAACAGAATCAAACAGGCCTTGTAATAAAATATCATCAACTAAAAAATTAAAATATTCTAAAAAGGGGACATTCACACTGCAAATTATTTAGGAAGTCAATCTCTTGGGTCTAAAGTCATTCATAAGATCCAACCTACAACATTTTTGGCCTCAACCTACAATACTGCCTGGTATGAAACCAATATATATTGAATTAAAGAAGAATCACTGTTCTTGAACCATTCATTCTCTTAAATATTCTACTCTAGTCAGAATGGATTAGATACTCATCACCGTAGTCTACAGATTTCTACAAGTGTAAGTGCAGAGTCAACGGGCACAGGCATTTAACTTTTATGAGGCAGAACCATATTAATTTCCAAAACTAAGAACAATTTGTACCCTCACCAATAGTACACAATACATAGATATTAAATCAATTCCCCTTTTAAATCTGTTAAGTCTTTTTAGAACAAGACTATAAAAATCAGTAACCCAACAAACAAATAAATGAAAAAAACTTATTAGTAAGATAAAAGAGGTGCTATAACTGTCTATTTTCCAAATGCAAGTAGATATCACAATTTAGGACCAGAAAGGCATAATAATATGTATCCTCCTCATTTGTGTTGTTATGAGAAGACATGAATGTATTATATTCATGTTTAACTAGAAGTTCCAAGTGGATACCAAGTGGAGTTTAGTGTATAAATGTAATGTTTCATAAAGAACTGTTTGACTTAATAAACCATTTATTCATCAATTTGAGACTTGTGCCCATCAAGTCGAGGATAAAGGAATATAACTTTTTATTTTTTTAAAGCTAGGTCTTATTCTATCTATATGTTTTAAAGGGGTTGTTAGCCTTTTTGATGGCTAAAATCAAGTAAAAAAAACTGTGAAACTCTACTGCCAAATATATTAATTGATCTGTTCGATCATTCAATCTTCCATTTATGTGTTCTTCGGTCCATGTATACATCCACCCACTTTTCCATCCACTTATCATACAGTGTGTACACCATTAAACTTAATGAGGTCTTAAGGCCTGCAGCTTGCCATTAGAATATTTCACTCTTTTCCATCATCACTTTCTACTTCCTGACCCCCAGGAAGAGCCACAATACTGGGGGGAAGCTTTGTTTTCTGTTTAAATGAATAAGAGGCTATCCATGGAACGCAATGAAGGTTAATTGTCAGACTATTCAGAGGACATGTGCTTCTTGCAAGAGTCTGATTACTGATTAAAGTTATTTATTTCACCTGGGATATAGATGCCACTGAGTCATAGATGGTCTAAAACAGTTTCAATGTATTCCTGCTTAGATTCAGTATCAATCCCTAATTTTAATTCCAGAGAAACAGCTTCAAAACTGTGTCTAATAATTCACTTTTTTCCTGATTCCTTATACTCACGTCTTTGCACACGCTGTTCCTCTTCCTGGTGGCCCCTCCCCACTACCTTTCCCATTTTCTTCCCTTCCCTTATAAGAATGGATACCTAGCAAGCTCCTCCTCATCTTTCTTTAAATTTTAGAAAAGTTAAAAGCAAACAGAAAAGTTATCAGAGTTAGGTTAAGGAAGGGGAACATAAAGAAATCTCACCTGTATCTTGTGCAAGTAGTGTTCTGACCTGACGGAGCTACTGGTTTAAAAGTGACCCGTGGGGAAACTTGGGCCGATAGCAGAAATCCTAAGGCAAGAATAATGAGTGCTACGGTGGTACCTAAAAACCAAATAAAAAAAACAAAAAAATTTTTATATCAGAGAATAGTTGACAACATTCTTCCAAAGCATATTGGGTTCTGAAAAATTACCTTCATCTATTTTTCACTGGATTAGACAAAATGCTCCCAGTGTATAAACAAATTATCGGAACAACTCACTAGCACATTCATTGTGAGATATGATGAGAGTGAAATTCAAACAAATACACTTGCTAGCCAAACAGTAAATTGGTAATGATTTTCTTAAAAAAACAAAAAAAAGCTACCTAGGATTGCTGAGAATCTCAAAATCAATTAATGTAACCAAGATTATTGAGTGCCTAACATGTCAGTAACCATGAAAGGCAACAGAACGACATCGAGTGTTCCTTGTGTTCCTTTCAGTGCCAAGAAAATTGTTCTAATACTATTTGATCACGATCATGTAACATTTAAATCAGTAAACTAAAAAGCAACAGACTTACTATTTCTAAAGCAGTTGAAAAAGCATTTATTAAAAGGAGTAGCATTTTTTTTTTAAGACTTTAAGGTGCCAGAAATGATATAACACATGTATACATTTGTCATTCCAGTTGGTATTTGAAAGTGGAATATTTGCCTTTGATTTTAAGGTATAGGATTGGTGATTAGGCATATCACTTAAAAGGCCAATTTTTGTGTCCCTGATAGAAATCCTGATGGTAAATAAGAAAGTTTTTGAACTTCTGACTATTGTTCCAGCCACAGACATCATGAGGATAAACAAAAAGGGTCACGGGAAGGAAAGAGAAAGAAAATATGGCTGCATTAATTTCCACAATTTATTTGAATGAGACAATATATTTAAAATATGGAATTTAGGGAGGGCATTTATGTAGTGGTAAGTTTTTATTAGTTAACCTAAGAGATAATATCTGATGTAATAAGTTACATTAACTACCCAGTACAGGGCTTAAATTGTTACAAATACTCAGAAAAACTTCCTTTCCCATGACTCTGCTAGAGCAGTAGTTCTCATGCTTGGTGTAGATATCGCCTGCTTAAGAAACACATGCTCCAGATCCCATCTTCAGAGATGCTAATTTAGATCTACCAGATCCCATCTTCAGAGATGCTAATTTAGTAGATCTAAGATAGGGCCCAAGAATCCATATTTTAAAATAAGTACCCTTGGTAATTCTGATGGAGACAGCCCGTGAGTGATGTCTTCAGACATATTCCAGTACCAAAATACATGGGGAGGGGGAGGAAACATGGTGTTTCTGGCTTTTTGATTTATTACTAATAAAGCTACATAGATACAAACCTCCCGCTATTAAAAGAATCAAGAGGCTGTCATTAAATTTGTAATATTTAGGAAAAAGACTAGTTCTCTGAACAAGTTTTGAAAATATTGAAAAATTTAGACCACAAAATGTCCTACATTTAAAATTATTCATGGACCACATATTTTATACTTCTTTGTATAAAAAGGTTTTTTGTACAGGCTTCAATATAGGTTATTTGTAGCAATTTTTAAAGAATGAATACCTATTCAAAAATTGTTTCGATAAGATTTTTCTCTATTTTTAACTCAATATAATAAATCGTAATAAAAACACAAAATAGGGAACAATACTGAATCAAAGGTTTAAAAATTCTAGGCTGTAGCCAATTTAAGAAATTTAAAATAGAGGTGGGTGCGGTGGCTCACGCCTGTAATCCTAACACTCTGGGAGACTGAGGAGGGAGAATTGCTTGAGCTCAGGAGTTTGAGACCAGCCTGAGCAAGAGTAAGAGCCCGTCTCTACTAAAAATAGAAAAAATTAGCCAGACATGGTAGCAAGAGCCTCTAGTCACAACTACTCAGGAGGCTGAGGCAAGAGGATGGCTTGAGCCCAGGAGTTTGAGTTTGCTGTGAGCTAGGCTGATGCCGTAGCACTTGCCTGGGCAACAGAATAAGACTCTGTCTCAAAGAAAAAAAAAAGAACAATATTCTAATACTTAGCACTATTAAAATATCAAATATATACTTACATACAAATGAATAAAACAAAAACATATTGAGATAAAAATATGACTAACACTGAATCAATTAGTATTGGAATGTGAAAGAAATATCTATTGTGAGGGTCACACTGGAGTAGTATTAACACACTAACAAGGTTGTTTAGCAGTAAGTCTCCTTCCGAAGGTGTAAACTTCCACTGGTCATTATTTTCTACTAAACCTATTTAATTACAGTGAAAAACAAGAACTGCATAAATACTATTTACTGTATGTACATGTGAAAGAGGAGACCTGCAACAAGAAACCAGGTCTTCTACCTCCTAAACCACTGTAATATCCACTAACATTTTACTGGGCACCATAATAAGGAAATCAGATGGATGGTGTTTCTCAGGCTGGAGGAATCACTGCATAGGATTTGTAGTGGACACAGCTGAGGTGATGGTAGTTTTGGCTAAAAGAGAAAAAAGCAAGAAAGAGAAGTGCCTATGGATTTCTCATGAGAAGCAGCCCCTGAAATCTCTTGGTCTTTCTCTCCAAGTAATTGTCTTAATACTTCCTTTTAATAGTCAGGATGGGCTCTGGAAATCCTTGGGCCAGAAGACCTATGCTGAGAAGGGAAACATGACATCAGCCAAGAGTTCAGGGAAGTTCCCAGATTAGGACAATGGAGGCTGATTTCACAGTATGGTTAAAACAACAAAGGGTCACTTTTTGGCAACAATAATGCTGTGACAGCTAAAATGCTCTGAGCACTTTGCTCCGTGTCAGGATGTATTTTAAATGCTGTACATATATAAGTGTGTTAAATCCTCATTACGACTCTGTGAAGTCAGGATCATAATTAATCCCCATTTATAGATGAGGAAATAGAACTTTGCCCAAAATTACAAAATTCAAATCCACACAGTCAGGCTTTATATCAATAATGCCCCCCAAATTCTGCGTAACTGATAAGAAGTGTTATAGTGGAATACAACAAATGAAGGGACACAGGCTGCTAGAAAAAATGTTTAATCTGTAGTTTTTCCCAGATCTCAACAGCCAAATCCCAAATTGAAGAAGCACTTAAATTCTGTTTAAAAAATAGACCTCTTGAGGTAGCAATAGACTGGGGTCCTATTGGAAAGGAAATGTGTCAATTAAAAATATTTGAAAGCAGCTATTATCTCTTCTTAGAGTTGACCTGAACCTCAAAGGTCAGTGAATCCAATTTCCAGCCTACTGTAGGAATTGACTTTTAGCACATCACTGCCTGATGGTCATCTATCCTTTTGTTGAGAGTTTACCATCCTAATGAGACAGCACGATTCATTGTTGGATAGCTCTGATTATTAGGAATATTTTTCTTGTATTAAGTAAAAATCTATGTCCTCACATCTACAGTCTGCTAGAATAATGTATGTATTAGGCTGCCCGTTAGTCTTTTCTCCAGGCTAAGAAACTCTGGTTTCTTCAACAAGTTTACAAATGTATGGTTTTGAAACCCTCCCTTGTGCCTCACCTTTCTTCACTTACCCTCTTTGTTCCCTATGTAGCTTGGCTGTTGGCAATCACCTTTGCCCCTTAATCAAACAATCTCTCACCTTCCCCTCAGTGCTTATACTGCAGTTCAACTCACATGACAGGACTCAAGGGCTCTTACTGCTTAAGCAAGAAGGGGAGGTGGAAGTGTTCCACTCTTCCTTCCAGGGTGAGGGCTGGGGGAGCATAGGTATGCCTGATAACTGAGTTTGGAACTCAGAATGTATTTTCTCATCAAATCTGGGATGAGTGCCTAAAACAGTCCTATTAGACCAATGTTTTAGGTATAATTTGGTTAAAATAGAATTTAATAAATGCTGCCCTGGAAACTTTACATTTTAATGGAAAAATGTATTTTTACTCAATGAACTTACAAAGGAGCCATTAGAGTTCAGTTAATTGATAGTAGGAATGTGCTTGCATATTTGGGAAAAAAATTAGAAAATTATATGATGCAACCAAGTGAAGAAAATGTTAAAGATGGGTCCCATTCTGTCAAGTGAAAAAGCCCTTGTGTTACAGAGAAATAACAAATGAAATGGACAGAATTTAAACACAAAAGATACTTGAGAGTAAGAAAATTTTGCCTTACTTAGTCATTATAAAAAACACATTTAACCAACTAGAATTTATCCTAGAACTTAGACCTGTCTCAAACATAAAAAGAGTCTGTTTCTGTTTTGTAAAGAAATTATATGGTTTTAATATTCCGTTGTTGAAAGAGCTTTATAAAAAAACGCCACCAATTTACTTCTACTCTATTCCCAATTTAAAAATATAACATATATTAAAAAGCAAGTTTCTGAATACCAAGTTTTTCAAACAAGGATAGAACAAAAAATGATTATTCTTTTCACTTTTGCACCTTTGAGCAGAACTCAAAATAATAACAGAAAAATGTTACCCTCAGTAGGTCCAAATTATTCTTGCAATCCTAGTCACATTCTAGTTCCCAGTCACATATTGTAACATTTGTTAAAAACTCTTTTTTTTTTTTGTCTAGAAGAACTCTAATTTTATATTGCTTGGCTAAGAAACCAATATTAGAAGTGTTATCAGTATTGTATTTTCGAAGGTTGACTTGTAACTGTTAGAAAAAAAGTTTATAACTGAATCCTCCATCCAGGCACCTACCTGCTAAACTACCAAAGGTAAGCTTTCTGCGGCCCACTTTCTCAACAAGCCAGACTCCCACGAGTGTGAAAATGAAATTCGTGAAGGCTGTAACTGAAGCCAGCCATATTGCGAGTCTATCATCTTCAACACCAGACATCTGCAGAATGGTTGCACTGTAGTACCTGCAAGGCAAAGAATAAAACAATTGCTGTTGATAGTTATTCAAAGAAAAGGAGTTGTTCAGACAGAAAAAGATGCAGCCACCTCAAAAAAACATGAATAGCTGTAGTAATAACATTAAGTTAACATGGGAATTCACGTGAGCTGCTGAAAGGATCACAATATAGAAACTATGTTCAGATAAATTTATTTTGAACTTTGCATGTCAATAAAAGACACCCATGCAACTGGATAGAAGGCTGAAGGCTTCCAAAGTGAAACATACCCCACAAATAGGTAAAGCAGTAGCTGGCACTTACACTGAAACTATCAAGGATAAGTTCCAAGCCCCTGGAATGAATCAGAAGTCATCATATACTGTGAATTAATGTCTTTAAAAGAATAAAGTGACTCACTGCATATAATAAAGAAATGTGATATAATGATAGAAATCTGTTACAAATAAAGAAGCTCTTTCAAAGAAGACATAAAGAGTAAGAATGTGTCAGAGTATATCTGGCATTGTGTAAGGAGATGAGAAACTGACATGATGTACACAAGAATGGTTTATGGTTCCTGGAAGGTAAGCCTGTCACACGATCTGCATGATTAGGCTCCGTAGACTCATTTTGTGCTAAATGAATTCACTAGAGACTGGCTCTTAAAAGACCATGATGCCAGTATGTTGATGCACAATGGAAGACATGTCTGGCACATTTACGGATGACAGGTTTCTCACAGGACATTCCTTTTCTGGTGAAAATATTGGTAGCTAAATCAGCTGGTTACTTTACAGTTGACCCGAAAACAAAGCAAAATATTCCCAGGGAATCACTTATGAAATGTGATAGACTTCAAATCCTAAGACACATTCTGAATCATGGCCCTGCCTAGCTTTCACAATATTTCAAAAATAAAATGTTTTAAATATATTTAAAGTCTCATTGATTCATCAATGACTTCTGTTTTTAAAATTAATGATAATGGTTCTTATGTAAAATTAACACCAACATGGACTTGTTCATTTTGCTAAAAAAGTGTTTTCCTATTTTAAATTAGTAAACCAAACTTATAAATTACTATGCAGCATGAAAGATGTGCTTTACTGATCACACTAAAAATTATGCCAGCCATTTTAAGACTTTGATTTCTGACAGCTGTTGTAAAAAGAGAAATTCCTTGTGGAATTATTCCCATCATCATGAAAATTGTGAATATTTTGCAGTCAGAGTGTAAAGTGATGATAAAAATTATGAAAACAATTCATTCCATCTGAATACTATTTTACAATTTCCAAGTTTGACTGTATACATTTTCATAAAGACCTGCGCAACAAGGTCAAATCTATACGCAATCATGAAGAAACTAACTGAGTACAAAACCTAGAAAGGCAGGAAACAGAAATGCTGAGAGAAAATTCAAATATTTAAAGCCAAACGAATTTGATACTTGCCATGCAACTAAATTTGAGTCTTCTCAATACTTCAAGAATAAAAGTAGATACATTGCATAAAATAATTCTTCAAATAGAGGCATGAAAGAATTAAACAAAGAGGGTGTTTTGATGTTTTCTTTTTCAATACAGTAAAATTATGGGCCGGGCGCAGTGGCTCACGCCTGTAATCCTAGCTCTCTGGGAGGCCGAGGCGGGCGGATTGTTTGAGCTCAGGAGTTCGAAACCAGCCTGAGCAAGAGCGAGACCCCGTCTCTACTAAAAATAGAAAGAAATTAATTGGACAACTAAAAATATATAGAAAAAATTAGCTGGGCATGGTGGCACATGCCTGTGGTCCCAGTTACTCGGGGGGCTGAGGCAGGAGGATTGCTTGAGCCCAGGAGTTTGAGGTTGCTGTGAGCTAGGATGACGCCACGGCACTCTAGCCCGGGCAACACAGTGAGACTCTGTCTCAAAAAAAAAAAAAAAAAAAATTCTGAAATCACCAAGTGCTAAATTAAAGGACAGAAAGGGAAGTAGTATGAAACAAAACAGTCTAAATTTTACATAAAATAAAAAACATTGCATAGGCCTAAAAAATTTTTTATGATGCTTAAGTTTTTTTACAGGCAAAAATACAACCAAACATTGGCCTGAGATTCACAAATCTGCATTCTAATGGCATCTCTGTGGTATGCTGGCCAGGCTGGGTAACATAATCACACGTTCATTGAGTATTTATTTCTTGAGTACTTACTGTATAACCTGTGTGAGTTACTAGGATCCCATAGATATGTTATTACATTCTGGTGCTGCCCACAAGAAGCTCATAGTTTAGTGTAAGAGAATAAAATGGCAGGAAATCATTCTAATACCACAAGGTGTATAAGTCACAATGTGGCACAAAAGGACAGAGCAAACAATTTTATTTGATGTAGAAGGTTCCTGGATTTTCCTGGGAATTAATGTTTGAGTTGAGCCTTGATCAATTCTCAGGGGTTTGCTAGCAGACACGACAATCTGGGAGGGTGTTGGAGGTGACAGAAATGACATATATGAAAGGCAAAAGTGCAGGACAGTATGCTGGGTACACAAATGTAAGTACTTGACCTTGACTGAACATAAAATGCATATGACAGAGAAGTATGACATAAGACCGTAGCAGGAGCTTCTGTGTGGAGGAGGCATGAATGGGATGCTATGTGTTCTAGGCTTTATTCTGTCGTAATGGAAAATCATGAAATGGACTTTAAAGAGAAGTATTAAAAACAGGATTAAATCTGTTCTACGAAAAGATCACTCTGATAATAGCCAAGTGAGTGGACTGGAGGCAGACTGAATGAAAGGGATGCTGTTTGGAGGCCTACTTCAAGTCATTACACTGGCAACAGGCAACTGCAGATTGTCTGGATTAATGGCAAACAGTGAGAGCAGGGGCTGAAATTCACCGACAGCCTTGTATCTTCCTCTCAAAAGAGCTGCAACTCCAGCCCCCATTAAACCTGTCCTGTGTGGACTGCCTTGAGTTTCACCTTCATTGCCTTTCTCTGACACTGGTAAATGCATTAGGTTTTACTGCTGCCATAACAAATTACCATAAGCATAATGGCTTTAAAACGACACAAACTTATCATCTTACAGTCCTATGGGTTGGAAATCTGACATTGGTCTCCCTGGGTGTCAAAAAGTCAAAAGGCTCAGCAGGGTTCCTTCATGGAGGCTCCAGGGGAAAATCATTTCCTTGCCTTTTTCCAGCTTTTAGAGGTGCCCCCCATCCACCAGTTCCATGGCTAGTGGTCCCCTCCCTCAATCTTCAAAGACAACAAACAGTTAGTCACTTCCCTCTCATGTCGCTTCACTATGACCCTCTACCTTCGTCTTCTACATTTAAGGAATCAAGTGATTATATTGGGCCCACTCACATATCCAGGATAACCTTCCTAATTAAGGTAAACTGATTAGCCAATCTAATTCAGTCTGTAACCTTATGTCTCCCTTTGCCACGAAGGTGACATATTCACAGGCTCTGAGGATTAGGATGTGTATGTACATCTTTGTGGGGACCATTATTCTGCCTGTTATAGTAAAGGTGCTAATAAACAGTAAAATAAGCAAAAGCCAACCGTTAGAATGAGAAGGAAGGAATGAAAGACAAGGACATTCACATAAAGGATAATCAGTTCCAGAAAAATTCAGGCAATAACTATATTCTCTTTCATAGGGCAGGAGATGATATAACTAGGTCAGAATAATTCAGAAACCTAATTTTTAAAAGTCAGATCAGGGACTTGTGTAAAGATACATTTAACTTACATTTTGAAGCATATGAATTCCAATGTTTTCATAAATAATGGTATCAGCCAACCATTTAAGTAATAGGTTATCACTGTGTTTACAATCTTCTAAACTTTTATGTAGTAGTTTCAATTTTCAAGGGACTAAGTATTCATTCAAAAGATTCACGGAGCGTAAGAGAGGCTTCTTTGTGAAAGAACGATATGAAAAACTGGAGAAGGCTTTCTTTCCCTTTTAGACTCAAAGCAGGAAAGCCTTCTCTTTTCAAAGTCATTCTACAATATCTGTATCTATCAGACAAACTATCATCTTCAAAGATTCCTTGGGCAAACTTTGCTCATCTCTTACATACCACCTTTTCCCCAGAGTGAAGTTGAAAAGTTTACAACTCTCTGTAGACATTTAAGGACAGCAAAGGCTGGAACTGCATGCGTATTACTATCTTAGAGGTTTTGTGACACCCAGCTTTCAGTCCTGAATTTTCAACCTAACACAAAATAGCTTTAGCAAACATGTAGACTTTGGTAATGACAACCTATCCTAACGAGGACTTTTAACTATCAATTCAAGTATAAACATGAGTACTTCATATGCTTAGCAAAATACATCTATTAAGTTCCTATTTGAATAAAGCACTTCCTAGGAATTTCTGAAAATGCTATCAATTTTTAGCTTATTGAGGCCATACCTTCCTTGTCTTTTTCACTATTACCGGTGTTGCAGAATAACAGCAAGAAATAGATACTCAATAATTGTTGAATTTATTAAATTTATTGACAAATTTTTGAAAAGGGATTAAGAATATTTAGGATAAAAAGGTGCCTAAAACAAAAATTAAAGACTGTTAAGAGAAAATAAGAGAAGATGAGTTGGGTGCAGTGGCTTGCACCCATAGTCCCAGCTACTCAAGAGACTGAGGCGGGAGAATTGCCTGAGCCCAGGAGTTCGAGGATGCAGTGTGCTGTGATCACTCCAGTAACTGTACTTACTTTAAGTACTGTACTTACTGTCTTAAGTAGTTTACATTCCCCAAACCAGAGGTTCTCAGATATAGGTATACTACAGAAATGCCTGGAGGGCACGTTAAAAAACACCTGAGGTTGGGTCCCACCTCCAGAATTTCTGATTCAGTAGGTTGAGAACAAAAAATTTGCATTTCCAACAAGTTTTCAGGTGATGCTGATGCTACTTTGAAAACTACTTCCCCAAACCATTACTATAATCACTTTCTTTTCACCATTCTCAAATTCCCTGGCCTGTTCCACCTTTGTCATATTCATGTCATAAACTCCA